ATATATAAGGCCACAGGGAAGGCTGTACTTTGTAAGTCCTCTCAGACCCCTTTTGGGTGGCAGCAGGTCCCCAGGTCCAGGCAAGTGTGGCCTTGGGATGTTGATCCAGATAACCCGCAGCTCTGGTGCCACAGCCTCCCTGGGCCAAGTTCCCTCTGTCATGTCTTGGGTGTGGTGACTTGGGGCGGCTCTGGGCCCTTCTGGCTGGGCACAGAAGTTAAGTCAGTGCCCAGCCAGTGGGGGGAAGGCAGGGGATGTGCTGGCAGCCAGGGTGGTGAGGTCTGGAGGTGGCAGTGGAGGCTGGTGATGCATCACCATGGTCAGAGGTCCCACCCTCAGATACAAACCATTGCTACTTGCCTTGACAGTGCCCAGGTCCCTGGGGCAGCGGCTAAACCCAGGCCCATAAGGTCTGGTTAACAGGGTCCCCTGGCCCCAGACCCCTTCCTCCTGGAGCAGTGCTGGGGACACTGTGAGAAGCTGGTCCTCTGTTCTCTGGGGGATGGAGCCTGTGTCCAAGGACAGCGTGGGTCGGGAGCCGCAGCCCCTGCCCCCTGCCAAGCCCCCAAGCCCTCTCCTGTGAACAAGGATCACAGTCCAGCTGCACAGGACAGGGACACCGCCGTGTTCCGGGCCTGAAGCCTCTCCCTGCCTCAGCCTCCCCGAGCACAGAGCTGTGAGCCAACCTCTTCCCCTCAAATCCCGCTCCTGAAGAGTAACTCCAACTCCCGCCGGGTCGGGGCCAAGCCTTGGATCTGGTGGCCTTGAAGTCTTTTGAAAAAAATTTGTGGGAAATTATTTATCTTATTTATTTTATTTATTTGGGTACCAGGAATCAAACTCAGGACCTCGCCCTTGCCAGGCAGGCGCTTGCACCGCTGAGCCATATCCCTGGCCCTCACCTTACTTATTTTTATTTTTAACTATAAACTGACGCTGCCAGTGGCATTCGTTTGTGGGATAAAAAGCAACCTTTATGAATACAACGTGGAACAATCACCTCATGCTAATTAACACACATCAGCCATCCCTTCAAACACATATCTTTTTTTTTTTGGTAAAAACATTGGAAATTTAATTTCTTAGCCATTTTGAAACGTGTAATGCTGTACATTATTATTCAGCTCCCCACACCCTGCGATATAGCTCAAAGGGAAATGAAAACCTCATTCTTTCTGTCTAACCGACCCTGTGCCCTTTGACAGCCCCACCCCGCTCTGCTCACCGCCTCCCTCTGCGGCTCCCTCAGGCTGAGTTGCCTCATCTTCCATGGACAAATGAGAACACGCAGTGCTTTGTCTGGCTGTGCCGTGTCGGGTTGCACAATGTTCTCCAGGGCCAGGCGGGAGAGCAAAACCACAGGATTGCCCCCCTTTTCCAGGCTGAATCGTACTCCACAGTGTCTACTAGCACTTCTTCTTTACCTGTTCACTCACCCGTGGCGGACACTTAGGCGGAACCTGGCTACTGTGACCGGCGCTGCAGTGAATCCACACACTGACTGCGACTCTATGAGGTTTCCATCCAGTAGTGCTGGATTGTGTGGTCTCCCTCCTCCTCCCTCCCCTCCCCTCCCCTCCCCCTCCCTCT